TGCAAATGCCCCACCAATTTTCCACCCCTCCCCCCTCCCCTCCCCTCCCCTCCCCTGGCATTTGAACTGTTGAAGATTGGTTTGATCAAGTTCCTGCCCTGCAAGGCAAACGTGATCAAATTCCCCACCAATTTTTTTTTCCTTTTAATGCAAAAGGTTAATTCAGCAACCGTGACTTTCAACACATTAACCACACTTTAAAACTAACATCTTGTAGATCTTTCATCCTGAAGCATTTGCTTGCAAATTTAACTGTTTACCTCACACACCCCTATCTTTAAAGATATAACCATTCTATTCCTCTGGAAAGACTTTACATTTTACGGTCAAATTTCTCACCCAGCCAGATAAGTTTAAAATATTCCAACCCCCTGAGCACAGACAACAGTCAAATGCCTGTGGAGATGTTGAAGTTTCTTTGATGAGTAGCATTTAATTTACCTTCTTTTCTTCCTCTAAGATAGCTGTAATTTTCTCCTCTTTCTTAAGCTTTGTTTCCTTGTCTCTCTGCTCAAATGAAAATGGCTGTATCTGGGTTCCTTTATGTGGCAGTTCAGGCTTAAACACATTGGTGAAGTCAGGACAAGGATTAGCCTTTATTTCTTTTGATTCAGCAGCCTACATATAAATAAAAGTGTTAGAGGTTTTGTGTACCTTTTCCTATGGGAAGTAAACAAATTGTTTTTGGAAGAATTTTGCAAACATTGCCCAAGACAATTCTAATGCATTTGCATTTAGGTATGACATGACAAAATATGTTATTAATTAGATACAGGGTATTGAGTTAACACAAATTAACTTACAAATTATAGGGTTGACAACTAACTCATTAAGTAACACAAACCTCAATGACAGCCTGTGGTTCTTTTGTTTTGTGCACCTCTGCACGCTGTTCAGTATTGAAGTTAAAAGGTTCAACTGCAGTAAGAGGCTTTTTTGGTTCCATGTACACTCCTAATGTTCCATTGCAGTCAAATATTTTACGGTTAAGCTCAGTAGCTTTGAACTTGTAACTGTGTAAAAAGGCAAATTTTATTATGAGTTAGAAGAAAATGTTTTCAAATGTTGTTCCTGGAGAAGAATTCTCTATTAAACCTTGAGCCCAGGGTATCTGATGATCCAGGCAACAAATAGTGAACTTCTATGTGGCCAAATTGTCCTTAAGTAATGCTTACTAACCATAAGGATTGCACAGAACACCACCACTTCATTTCTAGTGTGTGTCCCTGAGAATATTTCCCTAATACTTTGGTGCTCAAAACCAGCTGTTCACAATCATGTTTTTTTCTATCCATATTTTTCATATAGTATTCTAACACAAGAAAAATTTATTCCATTTATTTCATCAAAGTTACCTCTTCATCTCAGCTTCCTGAATCTTTTCTTGTTCTTCTTTACTCATGCAGTCTACAGAAAGTGGCCTTTTCCTATCTCTTGACCTTAAATTTGGTGTCTTTGGAGCTGTTAGCTTCAAGGAAGCCTTCTCTATATTATCTGGTGGCCCCTGGTTCTGTTCACTGACAGGTTTCACATGGAAACGCTCAGGAGTCTTCTTCTGCCATTGATAAACCCTTTGTGCCATTGATTGGTACTCCCCACATGGAGTGTCATTTTCAGGTTCTTTTCTTTTCCTGGATTCATTCATCTTGAATGGCACTGGAACAGTTGGTTTCCTGTTCTTGAAAGTCTACCCAGAACAGAACAGAAGGCCACTTTAAATGATTTGAACTACAATGTATGTTGGCACTTTATCATAACAGACAGATTCATAATTTCACATACAATCAAGTCTCACAATCGATTTAGATTGCATATTCTGTCAGTAAGAATTAGAAATCAACTGTTTGCCATGACCAGACTATATTAGATACATTTTTATTACTTAATTACCAAGTTTGTGTAAATAATATTAATTTCAGAAATCCCCTTGGAACAGCTGAAGGAAAAGTCACCTTTCATTTAATACAGACAAACATAGTAACATTCTTGCATAAGTAGACTATTGCATGCAGCTATTTGCCAATCACATGATTTATAAGATCTTGCCCAATTAAACAAAGTGCATTCAATGCTGTTGCATTCAAGATACAAATACAATCTTAAGGAGTCTGTTACTTTTGATGACACTTTCACCAGTAAAACCATTTTTTTTTTTACAATTATTGACTAGAAATTGAATTACAACCATTTTAATTGCATTAGAAGTACTATGGACACTTACTGGTGAAGGAGGATGCTGCCGTAAAGAGCCAACAAAATCCTTTCCTTTGCCCTCATTGTTTGCATGGTGAGAACTTGGACCAAGCCTATCATCTGTTGCGAAGTGAAATTCTTTAGCCCGAGTAAGATTGTCAACAGCTGATCTACAAGGCATGTATGACTGCCCTGCAAGAGCCTTCTTCATGGAAACTTTATTCTGTTTGAGTTTTTCCATCATTTCCTTTTGTTTCTGTGCTATGACCTGCAGCTCCTGTTCTTCCCTTGTTTTCTGTGCTTGGGTTTTATCACCTTTGGATTGAGCAACCCTCCTAAAAATATATGGCAAAAAATAAGAGGTGAAATGCACTTCTGAGCTGATTATGCTAGGTGTTTGTGGTGCTTTTCTTCATTGTATTCATGTTGTTAGCTAGAATTGTAAGCATAAGTATAATTACAAAACAAGAGTGGTTAGGATAATCCCAAACGATAAATTAAAGCATTAAAAAGCAGATATGCTGTAAACAAAGGCCTGGATGATCTCCCTGAGAGGTTCATAATTAAACCTTGAACTTCCCAGATCCAGTTGTAAATTATTTGCCTCCAGCTGCTACACATTTCTTTCTTTGTAACTAAGTTCCAAAGAATGGAGAAGATGGTGCTAGCTCAAGATAACAACTTCTTCCTGATTTGTTGGAGTATTCTTATAACCTGTTTGCTGGATAATGTATGGCTATTACAGGGAGAAGTTACATGACGATCATCTGAGTGAAAGGGTTAAAACTGGCCTTCAGCCGACTTCTAATGATCATGCAAACAAAATGGCCATTGAAATTAGCTGTTTGTGTTACCTCATAAAATTTGGCGTATCTGGAACAGTTAATGTCAATGGTGCTTTAATCTTCGGGACTTTCTTTGCTGGCCCACCATCAGAGGAACAACTGGAAACGGTGGATGATGTTGATGCAATAGAACACGTTGACAAAGTTCTCAGACGAGCTGATCTTCTTTCAGGTACCTTTTTCTCTCGTTTCCTAGAACGAGAAAGCATATTGGTGAAACTAACCTGGTACAGATTTCAGATTTTCCTCCAATCGTGCATCTACACGTAAAGCTTGATCGCATTTTGGGATTTATAGTGTAGTGCCAACAACTAATATAAAAGCACAAAGATGTACACGTAGATTTGCTGTATGTTTGAATTCGTATACGTAGAGTAGCGTTATATTATAAACCCCATCCAAAAATTAACAGAAACAATAAGTTAGAATGTCACGCTTACTTTCTGACTTGAGATTGACGAGGGGCACTTTCCGTCTTGACTTGTTCGTTCGTTGTTGTTTGGGTTTTTGTTACCCACTCTGACCACGAAGTCACACAGTTTTTAGGAGCTGATTTCTTAGGAGGAGCTTCCGCTAAAGGTTCAGTATCAGCTTTCTGTTCCACTCGTGGTTCTTCGTTCTGCGAAGACGAGCTCTCTTTCACCACTTCTTCTAGAATTTTTGATGCTTCGCAGTTAGGTTCATTAGATCGTTGTTCACAAGAATCTTCTTCGATTACCCAGCCACCTTCGTCGGCTACTTTTCCATCTTGGAAAGAACAAAAGTTTTAGAATAACATCGATCGTCTACCTAGAAGCGAAAGATTTCGCCAATCAAGACATTAAAACTTACCAAACCACTTATCCGCTTCAGGGTCTAAATCTCCTGTGTCTTTCGAGAAGTCGACAAACATCGGCGCATCGTACTCGTAACTTGGATCAACAAATTCATCCATCCTTTAAAATACAGACTTCAGAATCTCTCAAAGACACTACGCTTTGTAAACCTCTGTGACAAATCAAAATCCAAACGTATAAATCGAGAAAGTAAGTCAGCTTGGGTTACAAACTCTCACCGCTGTTCGATCGTTAAATTTCAAACTAACCGCACGAAACTGACGCTACCTACCACGCATTCCCATTGGTCAATTTCTCTGTCATCCATATTAAGTAATCATGGCCATATTTGTGCAGGATCATAAAATTCAACATGGCGCGCATTTTGGATCGGAAGTGATCCAGGAATAAATAAAACAAAGATTTTTCCGCTAAAAGATATGTTTAAGATGTGTTTGAGATATAAAAAAGGTAGGTTGAAACTAATTGGATATTCAGCTTTGGCTCCTCAATGTTTTTAGAAAGTCCGTCTCACGCATTTATATTACCTTGAAAAATACCCTCGTCTGAAATTAAACTGAAACTCGGATTTGTTTAACTCTGACTCTCTGAGATAAGGTTTGGGGGATAAAATGAAATTTTGGGTTGAGGTGCACATCTACCATGGTTACTTTTAATTCTATCAAAAAGGTTAACTTTGTATCGTCCCTGATAAAAAACCGCTCTTCATAACCTAAATAAGCAAAGGCCCAAAGAGTTTCCGATGCAAAAAATGCTGGAGGCTTTATTTAACAAATTTATATATTTGCCAAGTGAAGGAAAATTGTGGTGGGTATTTACCGAGCTTCA